GCGCGCACGCACGATTATTGTTAGAGCAGCTGATGAGTACAAGTGAAGTTCCACAACAGCCGGTTCAGTCTAGCTTAGCTATTGCTATATACATCGAACATTCTATCAGATGACTACCTTTGATAGTTGTTAATAATTAGTCATGTGTGTTAACTACAGTTTCCGTAGCAATCCGGTGGTGCTGACCCATTCTATTCCACTCTAATTTTGTCCTCCATACCTGTAACTAATGTTTTACCTGTATTTTATCAACATGTTTGCTATATTCTGATGAAATCTCTACAAATTATAGCTGTTGGATGCAAAGTTTGTTCTAGTTGCAAAAAAATTAAATTGACGATGATATTTATCATGTTTTGTTTTTGGCCTTTTGATTGTATATATCCGGTGTTGAGAGATGATGTCAATGTAATGACTATGTGTGCTTTGTTTTTCTAATATAGGCTGTGTGCATTATTCCTGATTGGTGCTGATGCTGATAATTCTACTTTTATTAATGCTACTACATGGCATCCACTACTATATTAGACCGTGGTTGGAGAAGACATCTACTGTATGTACAAAGTGGTTGCCTATAGATGGTGTGTGATAGATAGATCCACATTGCTGAGTCTATTCCTGCATATACAAGAGTTCTCTAGACGTTGATATGGTCGGCATCGGTGATCATAATCGTAAGTTGGAAAACCATATAGAGAGAGAACCATGGCAAAGCGATGTGAGATCGATGGGACATGAATGGCGGTTACCTGTTACGTACACATCAAGACATTGATATGGAAAATTAAGCAACTAGTATGTTAGCAATTGATCAGGAAATGGCATGGAAGGCAAGAACCCAATATGCATCATTGAGAGATAGATCAAAGATGGTCGACGTGTGCCACGTGGATATCCATGTGGAGGCACAAAATTTGACTAGCTGAAACTCATATAAAATGCAAGGGTAGAGTACCTGCAAACCTAGCTTCGATGCATGAGCTGAAAGACCTTACCGATCGAGAACATTTTGCTGCTGCCAAGAATGGCCGACGACAACTGCATGCCTCTGGGAAAACAAATCCTGCAGACGGTGTCTTGCTTAGGTCCTGAGTCTTAAGCTTATAACAATACAAGAGCATATCCAAGTAATTAGCCAAATCGTTTTCTAGAGTTAAATTTGGCTATCATTAAAAGAAAAACGTCTTCAACAGACTCAGAAATAACTCTCCAAATTTAGTAGTTTCCATCCCACCTTATTCGCCTCTCTACTTTTGAATAGCCTATCTCACTCAGCCATCTAGCCTCTTGTTTTACGGGTCTGCTAGAGTACTCTAGTATTTTTTTGTCAAATCTAATTTAGAGAGTAGCTAACCAGTAAATTTGGCTAGTTTTTTTGGCTAATCTCTTGAGATGCTCTAACTAGGCTAATGCCCGCTCGCTCCACTTTGTAGACAACGATCAAGATCTCACGTAGCTACTTTGGATGCGTGATATGCGATCTCGACTTCATATTGAAGTTAGGTAGGACGCAAAGGTTGAGCTATGAGTAGAAGATGATTCGTGTCGATTTGACGCAAACTCGTGGAGCAGTAGATTGAGATTTGGTATCACCGGTAGATTTATTATGTTAGCGCCTTTTAGACGTAGAGATTGGCTGAGTGACTTTTTTCTTTTTGCCTCTCTCTAAATCATGTATCCCACAATCTTGCATGTGTTGATTAAAATTTCAAGGGGTCTTCAGCTACAGCCTGCCGTGATTCTCATCAAATTTGCTAGCAGCACAATGAATTTGCACTTCATGGGCCCCCAAACTGAAGGGGGGGAGAGAATTTCTCATAGAGCCGAGGAGTGCATATGTCGCTTTTTTGGTAAATAGCCCATCCTTCCCCGTGTTATTTTAGGGGGGATCTATAAATTGAAATGCTCTATTAGAATTTTAGTTATTGTTCCCTCATTCTCCATGACCAAAGTTGGTCTAAATTTTTTAGTCTAGAATGGTAAGAGTGGATCTCCTCATCACTGGTGGTGGGTTTTTTCGGATTTTTAGGGGGGTCATTCCATCTACAGTAACTTCCAAAAGAAGCAAGACAGGAAATAGAAGTTCATGTCATAAGTGTGAGGGTCTACCAAAGTTCCATCCTCGATAAAAGCGCCAAAAGCTCAACGACGATTAAAAACCAAGGTCCAAAGTTGAACCAATCTGCTCTAATACCATTGAAGGGACCAAGTGACGCCTAAAGAGGAATGGTGAATTACGTCACTTAAAACTAAGCTTAAAAACCCTTACAAAATCTATCTGCACAAGTTCTATGTAGATGTGCACTAGTTTTTCAAAGTGTCTATATCTTAACGCAAAAGGAGTTTTAAATTCCCAAGGATCCAATGAACTAATCTTGCAAGCTAGTCTAGGAAGATAAGCGCACACACATCAAGAAATGCAAACTAAAACAGAATTGTAAATTGTGTTAGAGAACATAAACATCTGCATGATGGTTTTCTCGAGGCATCATAAAACTCAAGCTTTCTCCAGTCTCGTTGAAGCCCTCGCAAGGGGGCAAGTGGCTGGGTAACACCACAAATATCTCACCGCCTTCCCAGTCTTCACCACTTGAGAGCTTTTAACCAAAGTAACAAGGGCCTCTTGCCCCCGTGACACCACTCTTCAGCAGCCACACCACAAATCCAATTGGTGTGATCTTTATAAGATTGCAAACCCCTGTTTAAAAACTCTTGGTGCATGCATGCACGGATAGCACGGAGGTATGTAAACTCTCACTAAACACTAGGCATAAACACATATAGCTAGTGCCAAAGCGCCTCAATCTAGACTAAGCACTAATCCTAGCACTCTTGCTAATCACCTAATCTTCTCTTAAGCGATATGGTGGCTAGAGCACAAATGTTTGAGCCTCAACTCAACTATAGCTTCCTCAAGCTCTAACACACCCAAATGGCTGAGCATGGGAATATATATAACCCTCAACATACTCAACTAGTTGTTGCAAACAAGAGCTACATTGAATAAGCATCGAATTCTACGGTGGTCATACCAGAGAAATCTGATTCCCTATCATGTCAGCTAGCTGTTTGCCGGTTGTTGAAAGTCTTAAATCTCGCCAGACGCATTATGTACAATGTGGACTGGGGCTCTAATTGCTGCACCTCATAGCTCTAGTGCGATCTCTGGTGCATCACCGAGAGCGTCGGTGCTCTTCTTCTTCCATTGTGCTTGTGCATCGCCTCTATAATGTAACTCATGCGCACACACCGGACTATGCCTCAGACTGGACCCCACTGAAATTTACGGTGCCCATTGAAAGCTCCACTGCTTTCTTTGGTCACTTCTAGTGGCTTTCTTAGTTATTTCCTTCATGTCCCTTTGTCCAGGCTTCTCTTATATAATGTCTTGAATTTCTTGTTTGACTTCTAGGGTCTTCAATGCCCTCTTTGATCTTCATTCGATGTGTTGATTCCTTTGATCTTTACTGCAGCCTAGCTCAAGTGTTCATCTCTTGCATCCATAAGACTAAGTACCTTGTATGCTAGTAAACTTTGTTAGTCCTAATGGTTATATTGTCAATTAACCACTAGACCCTCGCTAGGTTCTGTGTTTCTTACTTACAAAATGCAATGGAATTTGTTAGGTTATTTGTTGAAAGCATCTCATGCTAGTTTAAGCATCGAGATAAGAAAATGTGCATGAAAAAATTCTAAGTATGTTCTCTAAAGGCCCGTTTGGATCTCTAGAATTGATTGAATTAATCATATTGTCTGAACAGCCTGTTTTGATATGCTAGAACTAGAAATGCCAATTCCATTTAGTTCTAGTGAAGTCCACAACACCTAGGTTAGATTCCTGTCCTAAAAAATGGAAAGGCTAATTACATTCTTTTACTGCTACTAACTAGTCTCTTGCTGCCCATCCTGTCCTCCGAAGCAGCGACCTGATCACTATCGAGCATGTCCGCTCAAAGATGTTGGAAAGGCATTCCAATTCAATGACCAAAACGGCCGCCAAGAACATACTTTATGATGCCACCTACGACTACAAAATTTAAACTTCATACTTAGTTGGTACATGGAGAAACAAAAAGCTCACAGGCTGGAGGAGTTAAACAAGGTCAAATTTTATACTACATGAGTCAAAGAGGAGAAAATCAACTATTTGAGATCATAAAAAAAAACTTTTCCCTTTTGTGCTTGAAGGTATGCAGCCCTACTAAATGTTAAAAAAAAAGATAACTTTTATCCCCAAAAACCATACACACACACACCACCACCACCACCACCACAACAACAGGTGTGTTCGCTGCAGCTGCAGTGGCTCTCGCTACAGTACCACGTACCAGCGGGCTCAACAACACCACCACCAGCCACCACTACCCTACACTGAACTTAAAAAATTGGTATCAGTGTGCTCCTCACATACTTATGTCCTATATGAGGATTCGGCACTGGACTATCCTTCACCTTTACCTCGTGCTTGAATCTTGCAGCTAAGAAAAAGAGTTTTTCCATAGAAGAGTAAAGGTGATGACAAGAGGCATCAAGAAAGCATGTACTGTTATGACGAGTAAAACAGCCATTGACATTGAGCATAATGTGTTTAGATTAAGCAGTTAAACTAGGAAAGATAGCATCGTCCATAGCTTAAATGTAATTGAACGCACATCATCATTCATAGCACAATGTAATCATTGAACTCAAAGCATCATTCTAAGCACAAAGCTCATTGAACTCACATTTAGATAACACTTGCAGACTAAGTATTAAAAATGTCCCTACTACATACACATGTTGCTTGCGCTATAGAAAATCTTCATTTTGATAACATTCATAATACAAATCTGAATGTGTCACATGCTTCGTATAGTTCAGGTGGAAATCAATTTCACCACAAATATCAGTAAACTTTCTGCTAAGTCATCTGGCAGTGTGTCACTTTACCTTCAATCAGCCTTCAGTTGTTTCAATGACGATTGGGGAAGGTTATACAGAATCAGGCCCATCAGCAATACCACGGCACCAATGATGAAAGACATGCTTAATTCCGCGCCATGGGGGATGTAGGGCAAAGGAAGTGAAAGAATATAGATTGATATTGGCACTAAAATTGAAAACAAGCATAATTAGTACTGTATGGTTATATTCCTTCCGTTTGGTCTACCCACTGGCATAACACCAAGAAAGAAGATGAAAATGCAGGAGGGGTAATCAAGGGGCAAAAAACAATAAAGGACCTGCTGATGTTGCTGTAAGGGAAGCCACAAGGGCAGATGACATCTTCACCAAATTGAGGAGAGAGATATTGAATGCCATATTCACCACTATAAAAAGCAAAGGCAGGAATGGAGCACCTCCATAATCTGTAAGAAAAGTAGCCGTGAGCAACATACACAAACAGGTTTTCCCAAAGCAAAAAGAGAGCATGGCCTAAAATCAGAATGTCAGAAAGTTCAGTAGTTCATTAGACTGAAAGTTCCTCGAGATTTCCACAGAAGTCCAAAGATAAATCTCTCAAGTTAGAATTCATAAGCATTTATGAGTTGCTAGTCAGCTAACAAAATTGCACATATTTAACAATAAGAATACATATACACTAATTGGAAACATACAATTCTGTGCAAGAACTATTACCAATTGGACTTTCTGCAACATTTAAGAAGCACTCCAGCACCACCATTTAAATAAGCAGGAAGCTCAGCAAACTTAATTCCCCTCAAATTAGAAAGGAATGGAAGAAGCAGAAAGACAAAAAGAGCCTGAAAAAATATTACATAGTATACAGTATTAAATCCAGGTTTAAAGACATAATAATTGCAGTCAAGCATGAACCAAGAAAGTATGCAATAGAACAGCCCAACTCTGTTCAATTTCTAAAATCACCTGAAATCCAGATCCAAATGAATTGACCACAAAGATGTCTGGCCGCTTCCCCTGCACAAATATTTAATGTTACGAACAATAGACCATGAGTTCATAAATCAATGTGTACCAATGAACAAATAAAAGCACCATGGAGAAAAGATGCCTCAACCTTAAGACGTTTTGCACCATCAATGAAAACTGCTTCCTGTAATACGCAATTAACATATTTGAGAACACCAGTAAGCAAAAATGAACAATATGAGACAAAGAAAGCGACTATACCTTCAGAATAGATGCACCAGCTTGAAATGCTGACGAAGCCACCATCAACGCTGGCCAAATTAACTTGACTTCTGAAAGAAGATGGCCCTCATTCCCTCCACTAAAAAGTAAAAAATCTTGTGATGACCAATCTATTAAACTTTAGCAATGTGGTAGTAATAACTTAGTACAATAATAGCACAATAACACTTCTCTAGCAAACTAGTAAAATGTTACTAATGTATAGGTGCATGTGTCGCATCCTTTTTCTCCAAATATATACATTGCGCCACAAGAACCAGAAAAATAAAGCAGATGTTTCAAATGGCATACCTTGCAACAGCAAGAATCACACCAGAAATTACTAGGAAGCAACCAATGATTTGTCTGGCTGAATACGTCCTCCCTAAAAGCAGGGCAGAGAAGGTAAGCTGCCACACCAAGAATGACTGCAGCAGACATACAAAGGAATATCTCACTTCACATATAATTGTAGAATCATAGCAGGTCTAAACACTAGTAATCAGATGAAATTGGTAAGAGTGAGCATCAACCAAAACCTCCCAAAATCTCAGGGTGACTACAGAAGTAAAATACTGTTGCCTGCGTTAACAAAGAAACTACAGCACAACATGGAAAGTTTAATTTAGTAATAACTGAAATAACTCAGATCAAAGAACCATCATAGATAACTGAACAGAGTTTAAAAAAAACGGATTGCAACAGAAACAAACCAGAGGGCACATATACCTGGGACAGTATAGGAATAGCAGGCCCTGGTAGCATAGCTGCAAGATCCATAAATAACAGCCAATTAACACAATTGAATTAGAACCTAGAACTGCATGAAACCAAACCATTTTGCCCCTTCTTTTCTGATCGAGCAAGAAATGCAATTCAATCTGTAGAAATCAATCACATCATTCTCAGAGTGAGCGTGAACAAAACTACCTCCAGCAGACATGCCAGAAGCGACTCCAAGTGCCTCCAGCAAACCGATCGCGACGAACCGGTGCTTGGGGAGCGCCAGCATGTCTCTAGTCACCACCCCCGAGCGGCACCTCGCGTAGAGTATCGAGAAGTACACGGCGACGTATCTGCACGCGCAAACAACGACGAACCGCAATTCAGGATCCGAAGAAACTAGCTGGCACGTCAAGCGCACCGAAAATTGTTTTCTCCGCATTTCGTCGAACAACAAGCTCGCGGCCGGCTGGGCCAGCAGCGGAAGAAGAAGAGGACTTGGTTTGGCTTACTTACCCGAAGGTGGTGAGCTGGGCGAGGAAGAAGGGGTACGCCTTGAGCGGCACGAGCGCGAGCTTGTAGAGCACGCGGTTGGCGACGGCCAGCGCCACCACGGCTGCCGACGCAGCGGCGGTGGCCACCGGCGAGGAGCTCATCGCACACGACAGGGTTAAACCGCCAAGCTATTCAGTTCATCGACGGAGCGTTGAGCTGGGATGGCGCAACCGCGCAAGGTCTCGAGAGGAGAAAGGACACTGAAATGGAATCGCCGGCTGGGAACCGAGCATGGAAATTGGAAAACCATGGGGACGGCGGCGGCGGCGGCGTTGGCGGCCGCCGCGTGGATTGCTTGCGTCGGGGTGCGGGAGTCAAACGTCTTTGCTTTTACGATTAGACCCCTGGACTCTAACACTTTTGCCTTTTTGCAAAATAGTACTATTATGGAGCACATTTTTGTCTTTGGTCGCCACATGTTGTCTATCAAAAGTTATGATGGAAGGAGTTTGAGCCGAATTTCTTTACCAAATAATCAAAACATCCGTGATGCTGAAAGTGATTGACGGTGAAAATCAAGAATATTTGTTTGCGAACAAAAAATCAAGAATATTATTGAAAGAGAGATAGAGAAACATGAAAAATTATCTAGGCTATTGGCCTATGGCCAATCTCTTTTTATATAACTTTTTTGGATAAAGGCCAACTGACACTTGTTTGGTTCTAAAGGAATTTTAAGAATCTAGATTAAAAAAAATCTTATATGTTTTAGAAAAAGTCTACGTAACCCCAACTATTCAGGGTGTACTATTTTACCCCTCAAACTATAAAATCGGATTTTCTACCCCCTAAATTCTTCAAAACCGGTCACATAACCCCCCCCCCCACCCCACACACACAAGCGGTTTTGGTTGATGGTTTTGCTATAGAGACGGTGGTTTTGTCTTTTATTTATTTATTTTCGTTGAATCTTTAAAAAATCATAGTAAATCACAGAAAAATTATAAAATGGAAAATCTAATTTTGTTGGACTCTACATGAGTAGATCTACACAGCAAACATATAATATGGTATGCTTTAGTATAAAGCTTTTGTTATAGCTTTAGATCTATACTTTTCTATAATTAATTGGAATAATTCATAGTTGTAGCTTCTATGGTCTAAATTTTGGTGAAATTTTTATGGTGGACTAATTATTGTATGCTTGAACTATTGAACTGTATAAAAATTTCATACTCATTAGATCATGTATAACTTAGTTATAAATTTATTTTGGTTTTTGCTTGTTAAATCTATGCTTTATCTATAACTAAGTTATACATGATCCAATGTGTATGAAAATTTTACTATAGTTCAAGCATAAAATAATTAGCTCACCATAAAAATTTCACCATAATTGGACCATAAAAGCTACAGCTATGAATTATTTCAATTAATTATAGAAAAGCATAGATCTAAAGATACAGCAAAAAAAATTATACTAAAACATACCATATTATATGTTCACTGTGTAGATCTACTCATGTAGAGTCCAACAAAATTAGATTTTCCATTTTATGATTTTTCTATGATTTACTATAATTTTTCAAAGATTCGGCGAAAATAAATAAAAAAGAAAAAGACAAAATCAACGTCACTGTAGCAAAACTACCGTCCAAAACCGTTTGGAAGGTTATTTGACCGATTTTTGAAAGTTCAGGAGCTAGAAAATCCGGTTTTATAGTTTGAGGGTGAAATAGTCCACCGTGAATAGTTGAGGAATTACGTAGACTTTTTCCAATATGTTTTTGTATACCTTTTCAAATAAAGACCAACTGAATTAGGTCATGTTTGGTTGTAAAGGAATTTTAAGGATTAGAGCTAAACAAAAATCAAATGTGTTTTGTTGGATTCTTGGTTTGTATGTTAAAGTCTACTAGAATCTAGTTTGTTTAGATAGGATTTTAGAATAATGATATCTTTTATATAGATTCTTAAAATTAAGGATTTCTAAGGACCTTTCACCTTCTTTGAAGTCTATTACAGGAAACAATCAATTCCATCGAGCTAGCTCCACCCTGGAACTAGCGGCAGCGAAAGTACTACTGGCCTAGATAGAGTCTCTAGGATAATTCATCCGTCTCAAAATAAAATATCATCTAGAGTTAATCGATGCTAACTTTGACCAAAACTATATATAAAAAATAGGGATCCCATAAAAATATGACATAATTAATCTAAGGATATTTATTTAGTATTATAAATATTAATAAATTGAGTAAAATACACCAGCGATCTTTAAATTTGTCTGAATGTGTCATAGGTCCTTGAAGCCCTAAAATATATTTTTTGCTCGCTAAAGTTGTAACGGGTCTCATCCGGATTCCAATGGACGTTTATCCGATCCATTACCCTGGCATGGATCTGATAGAAGGGACCCACATGTTAGCTGCAAGGATCCACATTAGAAAAATTGTATCATTTTTATATAATTTCAGATGAAGATGATTTTATATGAAAATCGTACCACTCGATGAGATCTATAACTTTCTAGTTTTGATTTTTTTTACTTTAGATCGTTAATATGCTAAACAAACAATATAAAGTTTCAGTAGCACATTAATCGTGTACCAATGGCTTGTTTGTTTAAGCTTCGTGAGAGCTTTTAGATCTCGGCTTTTGGACCTTTTAAAAACCAAAAAGCTTCCAAAAGCTAGAAACTCACTATACTGAGCTTTTGGACTTTTGGTTTATGAGAGCGGATTGAGTTTTGAAAAGTTCAAAAGCTAGTAGTCTAAAAGTGGCTAAACAATGCCCAAGGCTTGTCGCCTTAGAAAAATCATATTCTTTTTTATATGATGTTGGATAAAGATACTTTGTATAATTATAGCTCTCGATGACATCTTTGACTTTATAGTTTTGAGTTTTGTTATTTGAGATTGTTAAGATACTCAAAAAATAATATAAAATTTCAGCAACATATTAATCGCGTACCTGGGCATGTCGCTATAGAAAAATCATATCTTTCTTTGTTGGTGTTGAATAAAGATACTTGTATATGAAAATTGTAGTTCTTGATAAGATCCACAAATTTATAGTTATGAGTTTTGTCATTTAAGGTTATTAAGATACTCAAAAATAATATAAAGTTTTCACAACAAATTAATCATGTATCATGGCTTGTCAAGTTAGAAAAATCACATCTTTCTTGTATTGTGTCGGATAAAGAAATTTTGTATGAGAAAAATGTAGCTGTCAAAAAGATTTACAACGTTCTAGTTTTGAGTTTAATCATTTGATGTCTTCTCAAAAAATTAAAAAAAAAATTAGCAGCATATTAATCATGTATCAGTGTTTGTCGTCTTAGAAAAACAATATCTTTCTTGTAAGGTGTCCGATAAAGATGCTTTGTATATGGAAATTGTAGCACTCGATTAGATCTTCAAATTACTAGTTTTGTGTTTTGTCATTTTAGGTCATTAAGATGCTCAAAGGAATAGTATAATGTTTCAGCTACATATTAGTCGTGTTTTGTATCAATTTTTAAGGAAATCTAAACAACTTCAAATAAAAAACTTAAAACTAGAATGTTGTAGATCTCATTTAGCGCTACAACTTTAGAATTGTCTCAAAGAAAGATTTGCAGAGATTGGTATTGTTTATTTCAGACTATGACTCAATCCCATCCCAAATGCTACAATCTAGGTGAATATTAAACTCAGGGGCAGTGCCAAATAACTCGGAGTAGTACTAAGTGGCATGCTTCAACAAATTTTCATCACCTTCAATAATGGATCCATCTTTTTCCAAACTAATAGTTGTGTTTTTACTTCTCCTTCAACTTGCAACTTTGTGAAAATAGCTGGTATTTAAGTCTCCTTTTAATAACCAATTCTCATGGCATCTATTATACCAATATGTTTCCTCTTGCTTCAATAATTTTAAATTTTCACTTAGAAGCCAAGCTTTTCTTCTCCACTGGTCATTAGAAAGATAAGAGGATTCTTCTAATGCAGATTTGTGTTTAATACTACCTCCATCCCAAAAAGAATGCAACTATGGGTTGCGTGCCATGTAGAGTGGTTCACGTTTGACCAAGTTTCTAGTGCATAGTATTTATATTTATGGCTTCGAATTAATTTATTATCAAAATACATTCCATAATTAGTGTAATGGTATTTATTTGGTATCATAAATATTGATACTTTTTTATCTATAATTGGTCAAACTTAAGCTACTAAAACTTGAGATTGTGCTAGAATTGCATTCTTTCTGGGACGGGGGGAGTATTAGTTAGTAAAAGCAGCAGCAACATTATGAATAAGACACATTAAGTCTGACTGATTGTCTGCATTAGTTTGTATCTAGGTTTGTATGTTTATGTTTGGTTACATGTTGAGGCTCTTATGTAGACTTGCACAATACGCAAAAAAAAAAGACCAATATAGCATTAGTTAGTATGCCAGATTTTTCTGCATTCAAAAACGGAGATTTGTATAAGCCGATAGACAAACAAAAGTAAAATACTTTCTCACTCTATCTTTACTACAAACATCAGATTAGGAGAACCAAATACAAAGGCACTCCATACGTTGTGCTAGCTTAGATCATGTTGCATAAGATCTAATGCAGGCTAGCTACAGGCAACTAATTAATCCCAATATGATCGCTTGTTTAGATCATGCTGCATAAGATTTAATGAAGACTAAGCCTACGTGTCACTAATCAAACATAATACGGGTCAAGGTATATTATATTTATGCCCCTTTGGAACGTGAATTTTTTTTCCGTTCCTGCGTTTTTACTATGAAAAATGAACTGAATTCCTGTGAAAATCCTATAGAATTCCTGTGAAATTCCTACGTTCCAAAGGGGGTTAGAGGGTGTAACTGTACCCATAATAATAATAAATAATAAAAATAGTGATTTTATTAGAATTCCATCGTATAAGACAGAAAGACACATAGAAGAAGACAAGAGATGGATTAACACTTGTCTTATTTGGATGCACTAGTATCCATCGTAATACATGTGTTGTGTTGAAGTAGATTGGTTTGAAACTTGGTTTAATTTCCACCCATACTCTTAATTTAAAAGAGGTGTAGAGATATATGTGAGTACATCTAGGCAAACCCTAAAGAAAATAAAAAACAGTGACTTGCTAACCTTTCGGGCGATGGTT